GGACAGAAATCTGGCGTTCAGCACGATTAAACGTACGCTGCAGCCATCTCTTCTTGTCACAAAGTTTCAGGGGCAGAACAGCTTTTAATCATCCACTGATTAAGGGTTTTTTAAAAGGTGTACAGAGATGCAGAACTGTTTTCATGCCCACTTGCTCCACAGTGGAATTTAACGCTGGTCCTGCGAGCCCTGATCTAAGCTCTATCTGAGCTACTGAATCAGGTTCCAACTAAATTCTTGTCTCTTAAAACAGCCCTGCTGCTGGCTTTAACATCCGCTAAGAGGGTGAGAGATTTATCTGCCCTCTCTGTCGCTCCGTCATGTCTTAGAATTCAGACTGATGGCAGCTCAGCTGATCTAAGACCGAATCCAGCTTTTATGCCTAAAACATCACAAGCTCTTTAAATTAAAAGTGATATCGTTGGAGGGTCCCCCCCCCCCCCCCCAATCAGAAGAAGAAGCATCTTTCCATCTTCTCTGTCCTGTGCGGGCATTGACGTGTTACATAGCACCGCACAGCTGCAATACGTCAAACTCAACATTTGTTTGTGCATTATAGAGATGCATCTGCAGGTCGCCCGTTACCCACACCCACGTTGTTACAATGGTTGTGTGAGGCCATTTCTGAAGCCTACAGAGCATCGGATTTAGAGCCTCCTGTCAACCTCAAGGCGCACTCGACCAGAGGTATCGCATCTTCGACTGCTTTGCATAATGGTATGACAATGCAGGATATTTGCACTACGGCCGCGTGGTCAACACCCTGCTCATTTATTCGCTTTTATCTACGTGATGTGACGCTCGTTCCATGACACATTTTGTCCTTAGTGTTTTAACAGAATGAATATTATTGTTTCATGGAACCCCATTTAACTCAAATCTGTCTGCACACATTACAGTGTGAGATGTTATCAGTCACAAGTTGTGACTGTTATTTTGGTTGTATTGTCATTAATCAGTTCATGACTATCATTACCAATCAGTTCATTTGAGTAATAATCAGCTCTCTTGTTATTATTAATCTGTTCATACTGTTAGGCTGTGAATCTGTTGGTTCATGGCTACTTTTCAGCTTTTCTCCCCTCCGTTGAAACTTTTCCAGGGCGTTCATGCATTCAGAACGCATAATTGCACAGCATGCGTCTGTGCATGGTAAGCATAATTATGCAACGCGTAATTAAGCACATGGGAGCTGAGTGACAAGACGTTTTTTGGGCAAGCTTCTTCTTCATACGGTGTTTGAATGGACCCAGTGAGGCGAGGACCACATCAGCTTCGCCCTTAACCCATCAGCGACAGCCTTAAAGGGCGAAGCCTATATGAAATAGAATGTTGGTTACGTACTGTAACCCCAGATTCTATGAATATAGGCGTAGCCCTTTAAGCGTTGGGCCTCACTGGCTCTGAAGTGGCTGAAAAAAAGCTATTTGGGAGCCGATTACCCGCTCTTAACGTAATTTATACGGACCGGGTGGGGCTAAATTTTTCAGTGTAATGCTTCGCATAACGGGATAAAACCCATCAGCAACAGCCTTAAAGGGCTACGCCTATATTCATAGAATCTGGGGTTACAGTACGTAACCAATGTTTCCTCAGACAAATCTGTGGTCTCCAGCCTCTTTGAAACGCTGTACGCCAACAGTGCCACGTTGTTGTTTGCTGCGGCCGGCTGGAACGCACACGGATGAGCTCGATTGGAGAGCAAAGTCACTGTCTGGTCATGCTTCCCGGGAGGGACAGGACGTTGGTCCAACCTGGACAGCTTTGCTACGAAAGCTTCCGCCAGGCTCGGCTCCAGGTGGGGTACCGAGGGAAAGTTCCGCTCGGTGAACCCCTCCACTCTGGTGATGGGCGCGAAAGTGGAGACGGGCGCTCTCAATTTACCAGGACCGGCTGCAGTCTTGTTCCAGTAGGACGCCACTGCTGGAAAACGAGGCCAGATGGGATCAGGACAGCGAGCAGGGGTGGAGCCAAACCTACCTGCTAGATCATCCGATCTGGGTGGGGGAAAGAGAGGACGGGAAGTCCCTTCGTGTCAGCAGCCTCCCGGATTACGCCGGGCAGCTCCGAGAGGAGGGCACCAATGGCAGGGAGCGATGTGGCCGTTGAGGCAGGAAGGCCCGGGGGGGGGGGGGGCTCGTTCTGACACTACGCTCTCCGGGAGGGAGTGAGCATCGGGGCTGCTGCTGACGTCGCCTGTCCCAGAGGAACCATCCGATTCACTCCGAGACCCGGCGTCAAAAAAGTCAATTGCATCATCCTGCGAAGTCTCCCGCCACGGAGAGGAAGTCCTCGACGTTAGCCTTGAACAAGGCTGCTCTCCTCTGCCTTTCCTCCGGAAGAAGGAAGTCACAGAAGTGGCAGGAGGAGGAGTGAGCGATGTGGCGGGGACCCAGGCATCCTTCGCAGATGTCGTGCCGGTCAAAACTCAGCAAGTAGCCGGTCTTGCAGGACGGACACAGGCGAATGGTGTTGGTGCTGGACATCTCGTTGTTGAAGGTCAGTGCTAGTCGTTTGCTGAAGAAAATTGGGAGCCGATTACCCACTCTTAACGTAATTTATATGAACCGGGTGGGGCCCACACAACAGGTGGGCGTGGACTAAACTTTTCAGTGCGATGCTTTGCATGACAGGATAAAACCCACTAAGCGACAGCTCTTAAAGGGCAAAGCCTATACGAAATAGAACTGTCAGTATTGGAAAGCAAGTTACACCAAAATGTCTTTGGTCACTGGACACAATATCATGCTGATCAGGTAACAGGGGTCAAATAG